TTCACGTGGCGGTGGCCCAAGTGAGGGGAGGGACTGATTCCGCTCCCCTGGGCTCTCGGGGTGAGGGCGCCGGCGCTTTTGGCTGCAGGTGGGAGACCAGCAGGCCTCACAGTTCTCCCTTCGCCTCCGAGCCCACTGCGCCCGCAGAGCCCTGGCGACCGGGCCCAGAAGCCCTGTGGCTGCCTCCCCGCTGGCAGAGCCAGTGTCCGGGGCCAGTTACCCCGGCCCCAACTTCATCACACCCCAAACACCCCCCCCTTGGACGCCCAGATAGCGGCCTTCCTAGGGAATCCCGTGTACATATTTGTGGGGTAAACGAGCAGATTCATGTTGAATTAATCTGTCCCTTTCAGTGTAATTCAGCTCGTTTCCTTCCTTGTCCCTCGTCCTCAGGGGTCGGTATTTGGCTCAATAAAGTCGTGAGAATATTTCCACAATCATGATGTGATGTTTCTCTGGGACTGGAAGCCTTGGAGGTGCCCTTGCTCCTGCCGCTCCTGGCCCTGTGGCCTGCCCTCCCCAGGCCTTTGAATCCCCCGGGTCTGGGCATACACTGGGCTGTGGGGAGCGTGGCCACCTTGGGCCGACCGTAGATGCGAATGTGCTCCCGGGGCCTGTAGGCCCAGATCGGAGCCACGGGAATGGGGGTGACTCTGCCCCTTGGGAGCGAGGAGCCCGCCCGCCGTTGAGGGGTGATACGGGATGTGGAGTCCCCTTAGGAGGTGGTGGCGGCTTTATCCAAAGGTGGCAACATCGCCTGGTCTTAGAGGACAGAGTCCCAAGGGGCTCAGGAGGGCCCAGGGAATTGGTGGGTGTTGGATGCGGAGATGAGAGCGAGGCAGTGCCCGGGTCACTCCGAGAGCTATGGCTGGTGGCTGGGCAGCATGTAGGGCCGTCACTGAAACAGGAAGCAGAGAGGAGGGGAAAGGAGATGACGACTCAGTGTGGAGCCCAGTGAGTTGGAGCTGCCTGTGGGGCAGCCTCGTGAAGGGTCAGTGACACGGAAAGTGGCCCTTCCCCTCCAGTACGTTCGTGTCGTCTGAGTCTCCGCAGACTTTCCTGTGGCCTCAGACCCCTTGGCACCCAGCCCCACGGGAGACACAGGAAAGGAGAGGGAAGGGAGGGTACCCGCCGTGCCCGGGCGCGGCACCATGTGCCCAGGGAGCGTGTGCACGGTGGGCGCCCGTCCTGCAGGCAGCACACCCGTCTTTCCCCGGAACGCACTCTAAACGCGTGGAACAGGGTGAGCTGCGTGTGTATTTCTGAGCATGTGGAGTCCGTGCGCCCGGCACTGTGCAAAGCTGCTGTGTTTTCACTCTCTCCGCGGTTTCTAACCTCCTGACGATGGGCGCTCGTTCCTTTTGAAATTCTGGCCCAGGTACTTCCCTGCCTCGAACTGTTCAGACCTCTGCCCGGCCCTGTCCTGGACCGGCTGCGGTCTTCGGGTGCGTCCCCCATCTCCCCGTGTTAGAGGGCAGTGCTGGGTTCTGCACGGAAGCCCGCTGGGGGCGGCTGATCGCCGCCAGCCGGTGTTTTCCTTGCTGCGCCCCTTGGGTGGTTTTGGAAGCCGATCTCCGCCTCGGAAGCAAATAGTTATGGAAGAAGGATGGCTCTTCAGGGTCCAGTGCTCGCCTTGCCTTTCATTTG